ATGGTATTATTTTTATACCCCAAAATACAAACCCAAGAACATTCCCAAATACATAATGAGCTTGTCGCTGGTGTCGATTTCGACTGATCCGATTAAATGCATAAAATTGCCTACTTTCTTTGACAAAGTTCAGTTGATGAAAGGTATGAAACAAAAAGTAATGATTGTTCCAAGGGAAATAATCATGATTTGGTGTAAAGAAACACAGACTACAAGTATCACAATGTTTCTTTACAGAAGAAACAATTCAGCTGAACTGACTAACTCAAGACTGAATCCTATTATGAAGCGCCACTGATGATATATTTTATAATTGTGGGACTTTGCTGCAAAGTCCCAGTTTGTTATCGAAATGTCAATTCTTTTTTGAGCCTAGACGGCAGTAGTTGCAGTAACCATTCAACTTCTCTAGACCTTCTGTAGTGGCGACGTGTTCCTTAAGTGTATTTTGGAACATTTTTGCAAAACCGGAAATGCCACAGTTCAACATGTGCAAAAACGGGTTTTTTGACCCTGGAAGCCACATTTTTGGGCCGATTTTGCTCGGGTCTTCATTTTTGGAATCTGTGACTAAATTCCGATGTGATATGAGTTAAAAAAATTTCAAATTTAGAAAATTCGTAGCATCCATTTTTTGGCCGATTTTCGAAATTTTTGGACCATTTTTCATTTTTTTTCGGATTAATCTGAAATTTTGATAAAAGATGCATGTCACTAATGTAAACCATTTGACGTATTCAAAATTTTTGCGTCACTTCCGGTTAAAGTGGAAAATCGATTTTCACTTCCGGTTGAATAACTTCCGGTGTGATTGAAATATTTCAACGAAATTATGTATATCGTTATTAATCGTAATTCTATGGCCGATTTTAAAATAAAATTTAGTCCGAAAAAAATACTTCGGCCGCCATCTTGATTTGATACTTTTTCATAAAACTCAAAATGGGGCTTCGGGGGAGAATGGGATTGGTCAAATTTTTATGTTGGTGTATACTTTAGTCGAAGGCGACAAAAATTTTTGAATTTGACTTTTGCTTTTTTGCAACTTCCGGTCGAATTTTTTTATATTTTTGAAGGCTTGTATCTCGTGACCTTGACCTTTGATGACCTTGACCTTTATAGGGTCAAAGGTCATTGACCTTGGCTATCATTTGATACTTTGACCTTTGACCGCAGACATGTACTTCCGGTTTTATAGCTATCCGTAAAAAGCCAAATTCGCAAATTTGGACTGCTCTAACACGTGACCTAATTAACCTAGAGGGTTAATTTTTTCAGTTTCCTAATGTTCTTCTCATGCACTTTACATAGATATAGAACAATTACTCTTTTTAAGCAAAATTGAAATTCGTGATTTTTTCAAATTTGAGTTTTGTTTTACCATATTTGTGTCTTTTTGATCTTGGTGTATGTATATCTTATGACCTACTTTATGGAGAACCTTGATATTTGGAATACAACTAGACACTTTGAATGTGAATTCACCTATGGCAAAAATTGGGGTGGGCGTGGCACATCCGGGTTGAATTACTAATTGTTTACATTTTGGGGCTGGGGCATAACTCGCATAGGATACGTTTGTTAAAAAAGGGACTCTGCACACAATTACCTCATCCTTTTGGCCAGTTTGTGTTAACAGCTCAGTTGTTTCACCTTTATAGTTCCAAAAAAGGAACGGGTTTTAACATTTGGATAGTTTCATTTTTCGATTTTGACCTTTGTTGACATTTGTTGACCTATATCTTTTGACTTGAATAATATAGAAGCTTGAAATTTGAAACACAACATAACATTTGGAATGTCAATTTCCCTATGCAAAAAAATTAAGGTGGGCGTGGCACATCCGGGTAATATTACTCATTATTGATATTTTTGGCCAGGAGCATAACTCGCAAAGTATACGTTAGTTCAAAATGGAACTTTGCATACAATTATCTCATGAATTGAGCCACTTTGTCTTAGAAGTTCGGTTGTTTCCGCTTCTTAGTTCAAAAAAAGGAACAGGTTTTGGAAATTCAAAATTTTCAATTTTTGACCTTGACCTTTGATGACCTTGATCTTTATTGGGTCAAAGATCATTGACGTTGTCTATTAGTTTATGCTTTCATATTTGACCTCTGACGTCTACTTTCGCTTTTATAGCTGTCCAAAAACATCCAAATTCGCAACTTTGGACTGCTCTAGCACGTGACCTAATTAACCTAGAGAGTAGATTTTTTCGGTTTCCTAATGTGCTTCTCGTGTACTTTACATAGATATATAACAATCGTTTTTTTAAAGCAAAATTGAAATTCGTGATTTTTTCAAATTTGAGTTTTTTTTTTTTACAATATTTGCGACTTTTTGAGCTTAGTGTATGTATATGTTATGATCTATTTGATGTAGAACCTTGATATTTGGAATATAACTAGACACTTTGAATATGAATTCACCTATGACAAAAAATCTTATGTGGGCGTGGCACATCCGGGTTGAATTACTAATTGTTTACATTTTGGGGCTGGGGCATAACTCGCATAGGATGCGTTTGTTCAAAAAGAGACTTTGCACACAATTACCTGATCCTTTTGGCCAGTATGTATTAACAGCTCAGTTGTTTCAGCTTTATAGTTTCAAAAAAGGAACGGGTTTTAACATTTGGATATTTTCATTTTTCGATTTTGACCTTTGTTGACTTTTGTTGACCTATATCTTTTGACCTCTATTATGTAGGAACTTGACATTTGGAACATAACGTAACATTTTGAATATTGATTAACTTATTCAAAAAGTTGAGTTGGGCGTTGCTTAACTGGTATGCTTTAATGGAGTAGTGGTTCTCAACAGACCGTTTGGACCTTTTGTTCTGCAGTAAATATCCAGATATATAACTTATAACTTGATCCAAAATTAAAAACGTCTCATACATTGTTAGAATGTTTAGCCTTCAAAATAAAAGTTGAATTGCAGTAATTCAAAAACGCAAACCACAGACACATTTATCTAGATTTGATACATATCCGTCCACCTTTAATTAGCGAATTGCTTATTTTTCCCATCTCTCTGAGAACTGTTCGCAGATTTGCCCCAGGTCGTCTTAAATAACACGATTCAACATTCCCAATGTAATCCTTTATTAAATTTTATCGAATCTTTTAAACTCCGGTTGTTCTTCACAATTTTCTTGATATCACTTGTCACCAATCCCCGCCTTGAACTTTGCGATTGTGCCTTATTGTGTTCGCGCTTTTTGTCATTCAACGAGAGTGGTGTTGATGTCATGAAGTTTAAAACTTTCTGAAACTAATTGTTAATTTCACTCACGTGCAAATCGGACTGACTGCATATCTTCATTATCGTCTCGTAGATTTTTTTTATCACAAGTTTCATACACTTCTCCTCATCAGTAATCACACGCGTATCTGGTTCACCAAATTTTGGTTCCAGCTCACTAAATATCCCCATACAAACTATTTTAGACTTTAGTCGCCCGTTAATGACGGAATAAGACAACAGTCATCGAAGGTGTAGAAGATAAGCTTCCGGTATGCACATAAAACCACTGTCGCTATGACACATCATTAGCAAAAAAATCCGAAATTTACAGGGTTTAAAAGCTTGGAAGTTTTGGTAAAAATCTTGTAATTGTCGTTCTTATGATGTACTTAACTTTCTACTTAAAACCATTCTGTTCTGTGTATATATTTCAGTGATATTAAAAGGTTATAAAGATGAACAAATTCAACGTGGTGAAGACATTCGTGGTCATATCAGTTATAAGTTTTACACTTCATCTTTTAAATCATTATTCACTGGTAAGCTATTTTCGTATAATGCGTTTTGGAAATTCAGAAATCAAGGTGAGCCAAATACATCAATAATTTGATCATAAGAGAGTTTTGCATCTTTATTAAAATATTTTGAACAATATATCACAATTCAGTTGTGTTTATTATACAATTGGGTCCAAAAATTGGTTTGAAGTGGACAAAATTAATTTGATTAAACACTGCGTCAGAATAATTTGGAGCCCATGCATCTTATTTATTACCAAAGTTTAATTTTTGGTTTTCAGCTTCCAACAGTCTTCTTTCAGAATGGTAGAGACATGGTATTTATAACACATTTATAAGTTTTTCTTTGGATGTATATTTTAAAGATATTTCTTCTGTATCATTACATTTTCCATGGGGGTTTACATTTATGTCATCAATATAATTATTCCAAAAGTAAGAACGACTTGATACTGCATGTCCATCATATTTTTTATGTGTTTTTTATTATTATTTCCAGGACGCGTTAGAATTATTACTGAATTTTGCTAAAAATAAAGAAACCAGGTTATATTTAATAGATCCAGATGTTATTTCTATGAATACTTTTAATGGTAGAAATACTACAACCATTGGTGACGGAAATATAATCACACTTGGTATGAATGGTACATCACAGACTAAGGTAGGATCTTATGGGGTTTATAATAGTTTATATCAAACCACATTTAAACAGTGATTTTCTTGAATGGTTCCAAACTTTTAAATACTTATTGTATTTTAACAAATACAATGTTCCTTGTTAAAGTAGCATTCTGTGAGATAGGTATGAATATCAATATTTCCACTTTACTTTTCTAAATAAAACGTAAAGCCCATATTGTCGATTTTTGAAGAGCAGATAACTAAATCGTACAAATCGGTTAAAACATTTTGAAAATGAAGTCTACGTTGGGGAATAATAAGTCTTTTTCATCCTTTTTCTCACGCAGATATTACCCACATTATCAGGTTTTTATGCATTCCAAGTTCCATTGCTGAATTCCAATAATAATTCAGCTTAAAAAAATTGCCAAGATTTGTCGAATACAAAATATTCTTAAACGAATCAGAGGAAGTGTTTCCCTTTTAAAAAAATATGTGTTATTTTATTTTCAGATTAATTTATTTGACCATTTAAAAGATAAAGGATTTAGAGTATTTTGTAGTGAAGTTGATACAACAGTGAATTTAACGTTATCCACTCATTCTAATAAACATTTACCAGCCCATTTCTTAATATATCACAAACATACAGACTTCTTAATTCATATAGTAGTGTTTTATAAGAGATATAGAAACTTTATTTGGTGTGACAGAATACAAATCGAAGATTTAATTCAGAGAATAAAACAAGAAAATTTATCTTGGTTAAAAACAGAAATGTTGGATAATCTACGTTTCGGAAGAGTACCTCTTAGTTTTAAGAAGTAAGTGATATTCAATTGTTATGGACATGTCAATCGAAGCCCGTCCACTGACGGTGACAACTTGAATCTTTTCGGACTTCTCAAACGATTAGATCAAAAGACTCCACATAGTGTCATCATCCAATCATATGCATTTTCACTTCAATTGCATGGTCATCACGTGATAATGGACATAAGGAAGTACGACCGACTGGAGATTTTTTGTCTCCTCGTGTACCTGCAGTCGATCTGTAAAACTCTTGGCAAAACTCTATCGCCGACCAAAACCGTTCGTTTTCCTGCAGCATTAACAAACTGAACTGATGCATTCAAAACTTTGTTATATGTAATTATGTAATTAAATAAAGGCACGTAAAAAAAACTATTGGACCTCTCGACAACGGCCGTTTCGAATTCCATAACAGTAGTTTCACTTTAACAGTTCTTAGTGTTCATTTCCAACAACCAAAATGTATTTACCAATTTGTCATAGATTAAAGTCTGATTGTCCTTATTTTCAGAATAAATACAACTCGTGGAATATTGGGAAACACAAGACTTTTAGTTCCTGAAAATGGAAGTCAATTTCTAAAAGATTATAATGAATCTGAATTCATCGAATGTAACTATACTAGAGCAGAAAAATATTACAAAGAATATAAAATGCCAAGGGAACCTACAGACTTCGCTTTGAAGGCTTTAAAAATGTTAGAAAAAACTGGAGAAGCGTTGGACAAGCTTGGAATTCCTTTTACATTAGGTGAAGGCACATTATTAGGTAAGTGTTTTTTAATTCAGTGTCTCTCTGTACCGAGTGACAGTTTCATTGTTTCTGAAAGTGATATATAATTATATTAGCTGTCAAACTCTTACTCAACATTGCTACTGACTATCTGAGACCAAATCGTCTTTTTTACGACTAGCAGCCTAGTAAGTCACTGAATGTTATTGGGCATTAGCGCATTGGCGACTAATGAAGTCTTGGACCATCCAGTTGTTCACAACTAGCTCATTCCTTCAAATCCATTAGTTTCCGTTACATAGATGACGTTTTGTCACTGAATAACCTCGCTTTTGGAGACTATGTAGATAAAATCTACCTAGGAGAGTTGAAAATTAAAGACATCAATGCTTCTTAGACTAAAGCGTCCTATTTGGATTTACTTCTCGAAATTAACCACGATCTTTGTGTCAGGCTGTATGACAAACATGACGACTTTGATTAATTTCTCCACTTGAAGTAACACACACACCAGCTTATGAAGTATATATTACACAACTCATCCGCTATGCTAGATAGAGCTTGTTCTATTTATGAGAACTTTTTAGCTCTATGTCGAGCGTAAACTTTAGAATTGCTGAAACAAGATTACTTGAGACAGAAAACTTCAATTGTCATGTAGGAATTTTTATAGCCGTTGTGGAAATACAATTTTCGAAACATATGATGGTACTGATGGTCCACTACTGTACGAGATTGTTTGATTGTATTGTATTTGTATTGTCATACTTTTAGAGATTTTCATTCCTAGTAGGTTATTTCGAAAATAAGTTATTTTAGGACTCAGAATCGCATGTCCTGTCTTGAGCCATCTTTAATGAATGAGATATTTTCACAATTAGCACGGGATTACTCTGCATGATTTCATTTGATTTCATCAAATCTTGAATGCTGGATATAACTTCTTAAGTAAATGAGCGATTAAACGATAGTCTGTTTCGAGCCAACTCATGGGCCCATTCCGCCAACTCTGTATCATTGTGGGCGTCCGGCTTTAGTTCTAGAGAATACTGTTTCTGAAAAGGAGTGTTATCAGATAATTAAGAAACGTAATTTAGTATTAAAGAAGTCGTAAAATATGTGGTATATTTTGTAGGTTGGTATAGACAATGTGGTATAACGTCCTTTACCACAGATTTGGATATTTTGGTGTTCAGGGAGGATTATAGTGATGATATTCTGACAAGCTTAAAGAAAATTGGATTTACTCATATGTTTACTTTTGGAACAGTAAGTACCTAATTTTCGAATTTTCTGGAATTTTTGTGAACATTTTTCTACGGTGATTATCGTCCTTTAAAGATGTATAAGCGTAGGCTTTTTTGCATTTCAGTTATTGGAAGGCAATTGATAGGCAATTCAATGAGGGGGGCAAATACCAGTTTATTGTAATGAATACGCATTGGCGGAGCCAAAGAGGAAGGGGGATGGTGGATGGTGGCAGAGGGTTCAGGTGTCTCATAACTAGGTTTGAAATTCGGGCAATCTCAGATGTTTCGCAATTTTTTTTGCGCCTAAAAAACTGTACACCAAAATCTAGAGAGAAGTGTCTCTTACCGTATCTGAAAGATATTAACTAAAAAAATTCAGCCGTTAATTTTTCGCCAAAACTATTTACGTAAACTTTTAAAGTTCGTTATGCATTTTGGAAGCTGTTTGAAAACTAATGTACGGATTTAAAGATGGGTTCCCTTATTTTCATTTATGAAAATAAAAATACTAATACTTATATGAATAGAAAGTAGAGGTGTTCTAATGACTTGGAAAAATACCAGTTAGTCTCATATGTCCATAATTAATTCAGAATTAGCTAAATTAGAAGAGAATTATGAGTAGAATTTCAATGAGTGACCGATCAAGAAATGTCAAAAAGTCTTTTTTTTTGTTCATCCAGACTGTACATACATGGACATTTAAGATTGGTTAAAACTCTTAATTATATGCAATAAGAACATAATAATATGATTAGGAATACATGATAATTCATCACAAACACCAATTAATCAAATAGTTTGCTTAATTTTATACTAAAAATAAGGAAACCCATCTTTAAGTAAAATAAACGCCTTTTGTAAAGAAATATCTCCTACGCATTCGAAAAGTTAACTAATAATATCGAGCCATTACACTAGGCTTTTACCTTTTAAATCAAATCCAGTTTGATCAAGTAGATACATAAGATGAAGATTTGTTAAAACTATACATTAAGATTTTGACTAAAAAAAATCAAGCCGTTAATTTTTCAACTCGCCTAATTGTAGGTTAAATATGAAATAAACGCCTAATTGTAGAGAAATATGTGTCAAACTGCTTAATCAACAATTGGTTCTCCCCGTTTTTAATTAACTATTTTAAAGCAAATTCTGTTTGAACAAGTTGATACATAGATGTAAATAGCATACTACTTTAGAAATATTTACAGTCTTAATTCACGACGTTTATGACAATGAAAATTTTGCATACTGCCCCTTTAAACTGGTAGTTAATAATGACCCGAAATTACATGACTTTGAAATCGACACACTCATAAAAAATATTTCTGGTATTATTTACAGGTGGATGATGGTTTGGAATATTCGCTTATGTTTATGGGGGTGAAAATGGATTTATTTATTGTTTATAAGGAGAGAGATGTATTTTGGTTAGGAGCTATTGATGGGCATAGAAAATTGAGGTTGATATATTCCTGTCAAATAAATCGGTGTTGTTGTCTGCACACATGGAAGATTATTTATAACTAACCTGAACCTGATTCTAAGAAGCATTTAGTCAGACGCATTAAACTCAGCTTCAGGCTGTTTAGTGCAACAGGATAGCTGGGAAATACTTCAACAGTTTCCCTTGGTATGAATGTGTTTCATGACGCAATGATAGCTATCTTTCTCAGAATGTTCTGGTAAATTCTCATTACTGATCCATACTGACCCAACCATCTCTCCTCCAAACCAAAGGAGTCCTGAGGGAGGAAGGTTTCCGAAAAGTATTCCTAGTTCTCAATAAACACGTGGCTGCACAAGCACCTAGTGTTAAACTCCAACTTTCCGTAGCAGGAATGGCTTTGGCTCGGTTACAGCGTTTCGAATTCAAACCAAATAAGAGCTATCCATAGGTATCGTTGTTTGAATGACAACTTTTTGAATTCAGAATCTTGTGGTTGAAAGCTACCTAAATATCATGTAAAAGGTGTGCTTTAGGAGGATTGAAGGTGGATTCGTCAATGAATCATCATGATTTAGAAACACGAAGAAAGATTACCCTATATTAAGTAAGAGGGAATATGTTTCAAAATTATTTATAATTTCCATATTTTTTTGTAGGTTTACTCTACCGAAGTTTACAAATTGTTGGTCAGAGTTGCTTGGTGTTCGGGTTCGAGTTCCCTGTGAATCAGCAGCGTATATTAAAAAAACATACGGAAAAAATTGGCATAAACCATTAAAGCAGTTTTCATGGGCGAGTGATTCAGCTAATTTTAAGGTTGTTGGGACTGTATGAAAACACTGTACTATGTATTATAGATTATGACTAATTTATTAGAAATTTGCCTTGGTAATCCAAAATGGTCTCATATGTAGCATTTTGAGAGCGGTTGTCATAGCTTTTTAATGGACTTTTTCTTCACGTTTGCCGATATTTTTGGTCGCCATAAGATCGCAGTCTGGTGTGACGGGGGTATAACGCCTGCAAAGCAAGGATTACAACTTAGGTTTGCAGCTGCTAAGGATCTTTTCTACGAGCTGTTCAGTCCGATATAACGACATTTCGCCGTTCCAGTGATGTTTTTTAACCAATCGAAGTGTATCGTATAAACCTCATTTCTTGATAAAATATGGAATTGTGAGATAGTTAAACCCATATCCTATAATACCTTATTTTAACAAGAAATGATTGGTTAAAATACGATAAATCTTCTTAAATTACATTGTAGACTAAAAATGTCAGAATACGAAAACGAAACGAAATTGTTATCTATTTTTTATTTAATTTTATTTATTTATTTATTTTTTGATTCGGAGTGTGCCTTGGCTTGTCGCGGATACATTAATGCCATTAGGAAACATGTAAATAAAAATATATGAATCAGTTCATATCTTCAATATATATTGTTACATGCTTACTAATTTACTTGCAAAATATAAGATAGTGGACCATAGCCATATACGCCCACCACGGCATGCAGATGGTAACTATTCAAGATTTTGGGACAAGGGCAATAACTCTGCTTCTATCCGTCGAAAATAGCTCAAATTCGAACTTGATCTTCGTTTTATGAATATGTATATACATACCGAATTGCATTTGATTCCATCAAAAAATCTAGTTTTTAGAGCGTTTACAAGCAAATGTTGACGGACGGACCGACGGACGGACAGACGGACCGACGGACGGACGGACGGACGGACGGACGGACGGACGGACGGACGGACGGACAGGGGTGGCGACAATAAAAATTTATGGCTGCAAAAGAACACTGTAAAGATGTACGTATTGCTCAGAATGAGTGCGAATGGCAGCTAACTGCAAATACGACCCTTCAAGAGTCAGCACAAGATACTATGTATTTGATCATCATTTAAGTTCAACACATAAGATTTGAACGACATATAGAAGCGAGGAGCACATATAACAAAAACACAAGACAATATTACATCTGATGACGACACGTGTGTGTTATATTCCATAATATTGTCTTCTGTTTTTGTTTTAAGTTCAACACAGATCACCATTACCATTGCGTCATCCTACAAACACAGCCATATTATATTGTGGGCGTTTTTTGTCTGTTTCGTCGCGTACAGTAACGGTGTATGCGGGTCAGTGAAAGTTAAAGGGCACGATGCGACATGACGCATACCACGATCTGCCAAGGGGCAAAGGGCCTGTCCGCTAACAGGTTGCACAGCTGCTAGACATCCAGGTTTAATAAAGGCATAACGATATAAGCTCGAAAGCGGAATGTGCCTTGACATGGATACCTAAATGCTATTAGAAAGTCCTAACTCAACCTTTTACAGAAAAAAAAAACAAAATCCCACTGCACACCACGGAGCTGTGGTGGTCTCAGATAACAGAGTATATACCTAGCACATTAATTCGAACAATGTTTGCGGTTTTTAAAGTGGTACGTGTATATTTATAATTGATAAGCTTCTGGATTCATCCATAAGAAATCCGATTTTACACAGATCTGTCAATTAGGATAACGTGATATTTGACTGACCTCTGTCAGCTGAGTATAGTATTAGCTGGGGTTTACCGAGTATTAATTATCTGTTTTTTATTGACAATGAATCTATTATGATAAATAATAAATCATGATATTGTGCTTCGGGAAATCAGGCTTGTATTCCTTGCAGACTTTCATTCTCTATGTAAAGTTCAAAATATTGTCAACACATAAACAATAACATACCGTTTTCATCACCATTTAGTATTCGAACAGTTCAGAGTAACTTTCCCGATCTCCATTTCTATCACTCTATATCGATCTCTAAATTATCGAACTCGAGACAAATATTTGTTCTGAAGGTTTAATGGTTGATCCCTTTCGGATATTACTCGGTTTGTATTAATGATTATTTTTGAGTCAATCAAAATTGTTGTAAGACATAGTACAAACTATCACAAAAGTGCCTTTACCCCAGGTCTCGCTGAGTATTTTGAGCTATTTTGGTATAACTGTTTTATTTGGATCCGACTGCGAAGGTAAGATATTAAATTCTGTTTCTTAAAAAACGCTATAGAGTTGTTTTCCGCTATCCAAAAGAATAAAAGTCATAGAATTAACCAACCATTAGCTTATCTGAATTATGAGAAACCCGTAACTCATTTCGCATTTCAATAATAATTGAGCTAGAAGCATTTTTTTCGACTTAATGAATTTATAAAGTTGCGACTTTTAGAGATAGTGAATCAGACCAAAATACCCCTATTATTAAACTAGAAACTTTCTTAATTCATAATTTCTAAAGAATACAATTTCTAAAATGCGTTTAAATAATTGCAAACGGCTTCTGTTGCCATAATATGGACACATTCTGAATACTACATACATGTGGTCAACCAACTCTGTTTTCAATTTTGAAATCATCGGCGATGATCTCACTTGATTTATATTTGAATCTATAAATGCCTTAATGCCAAGTTTTTGGGAATTTAAAGCAGCTGTAACTCTATTCCTAATCATCAAAAAATCACTTCAGTTCTGATATTTTATGTTTTCCTCATGTATCTAAACGGGTAATCTGAATTAAATTTTCTTGAGCTTTTATGAATTTACGGACGTCCACCTATAGATAGTGTAGTAGTACAATGTAGTGGTCGATAATAATAGTATCATTCGAAAGCTAAAAACAATTTCTATTAATGCAATTGAATAGAGTTGACTCGATATGTCTTTCATTTACAAACAAGGGTTGAACTTGAAAGGTCCTGTCCAAGATAAGCTGTTTATTCTGTGTATATATTTCAGTGATATTAAAGGGTTATAAAGATGAACAAATCCAACGTGGTGAAGACATTCGTGGTCATATCAGTTATAAGTTTTACACTTCATCTTTTAAATCATTATTCACTGGTAAGCTTTGTCACATTGAAAGTTGTTTCGACTGGTACATTGCAAAAAAAAACACTTAATTATTACAGCATCTTAAATCCGCGGTCAAATAAATGACATTAGTTTCGAAGTTTGGAAACAAGGCTAATTTGTGTTTTCAGACATTCATTGTTCCATTTAATTTCATGATTGGTTTGTACTTTTTTTTTAACTGAAATAACGGATAACCCGGGAAAGATCAATTCCACAAGGTTAGGCCAACGGACCAGTTAGTATAGTCAGGATCCGTTATGAACCTTAGTAGTAAACCTTGAAAAATATAGTTGTTTCTTTCTTAACAGCATGCAAAAGCATAATTGTGATTATTGGTATTGATAATTTTAACAATGAAATCTATTGATTGTGTTCGTTGTACAACAGATGTATTGTGGATGAGATTTATTGAGTTTTTTTTTGTATTTCAGCTCACCAATATTGTCTACCCAAAATATCGGGGTTTTAGATATACGGTATCTATAATTCATTTCTACTGTATCTTTACTGTTTAACACACCGTTTTAAATAACCTTGTCATGTTTTAACCAGCGATTATTGTATAAGCCCTTTGCTTCAATGAACCAAATAGACAACTTGCTAACAGTTAGATAGTTACCTGTGGAACCTATTCCCGGTCATTACATAATATTCTCTAATTAACTCAAACTTTGTTATCAAGATATAATTCTCTATTTTGAAATCTAACAGTAAATCAAGATACAAAATTCTCTGACCGGGAACACATTACGGAAATCCGATTAAGTTATTTATAAGTTACGCTTCTATTAACTGACTGGCGGACAGTGGTCATTGTTATACTACATTGCCAATACATGAAATATTCATTCCACCGTACTTAAACCTTACAAAGACTGACCATGGCCAGTCATCTTTCATTCAATTCAATACAAAGGTACGTCTGAATTACACCTAGCAATCTGCAAGAGTGACCTTTTATTTATTTATTTTTAACTAAGTTCGGGGTCACTGATGAAATATCTGTCGTTCCCAATAGGACATAGTGGCGGTAAACTCCAGAGAAAAGTTGACCAGATTATTGCTATGTATTTCATTTGATTTTTAGTTGTCATACCGTCTGAATCATATGATCAATTTAAAACGACAAAAATATCGCCTAAACCTTTTTGCTTTTTAACCACCAAGATTATCTAAGAAGACAGAAATTGAGAGCTTCAGTGCAATGCAATGTTCGGATTTGACTTGTACATGGTTTTGTTCAACCATTTTATTATAACAAAAGAAACATAACAACCATTCCATTCCATTCACGACAAATCGGGAGGTACAAATTTTGTTATTCTGTTTAAATGGTTCTCTTTATTGTTTCTAGGGAGTTTTAGGCTTATTACTTAATTTTGCTGAAAATAAAGAAACCCGGTTATATTTAATAGATCCAGATATTATTTCTATGAATATTTTTAATGGTAGAAATACTACAACCATTGGTGACGGAAATATAATCACACTTGGTATGAATGGTACATCACAGACTAAGGTAGGATCACCTATATAATAAGAGGCTGATGTGAAATTCAGAATATATATCTCATTGACAGTTCTTCATCTAGTTGTATTTCCGCTCTCCCTCGAACTACATCAGTATAGCAAGGAAGTGCATACTCATCCCTCTGGTACACCAGTTTAAACTCTGCAACAAGATGTACCAAATCCTCGATTACAAAAAAAGAGTTTTGTCATGCCAAGATACATGAGGATGTTTGAACAGTTGCAAGAGCAGCAAACATGTTTCGATGGAAATTAAATGTTAAATTAAACTATATAGATCTCACGACTTGGACATTGCAACTTAATTAGTTAGGAATTAATTTTTAAAGTTTTTTGCCAACATGTTATATGATATGTAAATCACGTGCTTTTGATTTATAGACTGAATAAGACTGGTGCTTTTTCATCTGAAGGTCCTTTGGGGTGCTGTTTCTGTGGGTTACTTCACTCTAACTCTAACGACCTTTACAACAAAGGGAACAATTTCGTTTCTCAATAGACCTTAACCACTTACCGCTATACATGAATCGTTTCCCCGCGTCACTTGGTTCAAGACGGTTGTAGGCGTAATGTTAGTGCCTTTACTCAAATAAATAGACGAAACATCTTATGCTAAGAATTTGTTTTTTCAGATTACCTTATTTGACCATTTAAAAGATAAAGGATTTAGAGTATTTTGTAGTGAAGTTGATACAACAGTGAATTTAACGTTATCCACTCATTCTAATAAACATTTACCAGCCCATTTCTTAATATATCACAAACATACAGACTTCTTAATTCATATAGTAGTGTTTTATAAGAGATATAGAAACTTTATTTGGTGTGACAGAATACAAATAGAAGATTTAATTCAGAGAATAAAACAAGAAAATTTATCTTGGTTAAAAACAGAAATGTTGGAAAAGCTTCATTTTGGGAGAGTTCCATTCAGCTTTAACAGGTAGGAAGTGTGATAGAAATCCCCTGCCTCTTGTATACATGTAATTGGTAAAAAGCAAAACATGGTATTTGAAACATATATTTGACACGCTACAAAAAATCATGATATTTTTAATATGATGATATGACCTTTGTTAAATCGTACTATTCGTACATAATAGTTACAGATTACATTAAATATACGTTTTGAGCTACGTGAATTCTCTGAAAGGGAGACGGCCTAATCGAATAGTGACACAGTGATGTCGAAAAGAATGAGTTTCCTTCGACACCCATCAATACTTTCTGTAGTGGAGCCAAATTCAATTTGGATTTGAAATGAAGTATAATTCGAAATCACCTCCTTTCCTTTCAGTATAAACAAAGTTATGGAATCTCGGAAAACTTCACTAAATTATAGCTTCACCGCGGATAAGTCTGTTTTCCTATTTTTAGTATAAATACAACTCGTGGAATATTGGGAAATACCACTCTATTAGTTCCTGAAAATGGTGACAAATTTCTGAAAGATTATAATGAACTAGAATTCATCGAATGTAACTATACCAGGGCAGAAAAATATTACAGAGAATATAAAATGCCCAGAGAACCTACAGACTGGGTTTTGAAAGCTTTAGAAATGTTGGAAAAAACTGGAGAAGCGTTGGACAAGCTTGGAATTCCTTTTACATTAGGTGAAGGCACATTATTAGGTATGTTTAAAATTAGTTCAAGTACTTCGACAGCATCGCTCCTATTCTCTTACTACTCTTAGTATCAATATTTGTCTTCTGATAACTTTTTGTCCGATTTTTTCTTGAATATTTCACTTAGGTCTTATTTACAGTCCCAGTCGACTCATTACGGCTGATTCTATATCTAATATCCACATCACTGTTTCTCAACAAACATCATTTTGAATTTCAATGATATATTTAGGTTGGTATAGACAATGTGGTATAATATCCCACACCTCAGATTTGGATATTTTGGTATTTAGAGAAGACTATAGTGATGATATTTTTACAAGTTTAAAGAAAGTTGGATTTACTCATAAGAATACCTTCGGAAAGGCAAGTGTATCTGTATATTAGCTCCACAAAATAAGACCTTGGGAAAGAAAGCAATTCAAGTCAATTGGACTGTTCACCCCAATGCAAACGAATGCATTAGTCAGAAGAACCAAGTCGACGACCATATAGGCTTGCTTCATATTTTATGTGAATAGTCTTATGGCTAAACGTATCTCTTTTGGATTTTGTAATTTTTGAACACAGGACCTTCTTTATCATTATCTGAATGCAATAGATTGGTTTTCATTAATGACGTACCGCATTTTTGAAGCTGACAAATTGCTATAGAAATAAAACATTATAAAAATATTTCAATGATTTAATATTTCAGTTAAATGATAGTTTCGAATATTCCTTTAGATGGTCGCGCGTAAAACTGGATTTATTTTTTGTTTATAAAGAGAAAGATCTATTTTGGATAGGTGGAACCGATGGCGACAAGAAATTAAGGTGTGTACAATTTTTTCGCATGTTGATATTCCAAAAGGCCTCGTCTTCAATTATATTATATCCATGTTTTAAGATTCAAATGGCACTAAACGGTCAAAGTACTTTGAAATTTAGATGTAAACGGGTGAAAAATGATCGTAGTTTCAACAAAGAAAGAAAGTTTTATGTCACTTGACTTCAGTGATTGGTTTTTATTTCATATTTCTTTTTTAGGTTTACTCTACCGAAGTTTACAAATTGTTGGTCAGAGATGCTTGGTGTTCGGGTTCGTGTTCCCTGTGATTCAGCAGCGTATGTAGAAAAATCATATGGAAAAAATTGGTATAAACCGTTGAAAAGGTGGTTTTGGGCGAAAGATCCTTCAAATTTCAAAGTTGTGGGAAAGTGGGACAGAAGATAAACACAATGCCATATTTTGTACAAATACTGTTACATCAACTTGCATTGATTTACAATACAATTGGAAAGAAGTAGGACTATTATAAAACTTTACGTAACAATAAAACTCCAGTCTTCAGCTTTTGATGGCTACCCTTTTATCATTTACAAAAATGCGCCTTGTTCATTATTTATGATCTTTGGGCATTATTAGCAGAAGGAAACCTGGGAGGTAGGTCTACGCGGGTTTTGACAAAACTTGGTATGAGTGTTCGTAATCACCCAAGGATAAACCCTATTGAAAATCAGAAGAATCGAAAAATATTTAGTATAGGTTATTGCCCTTGTTCTTGAAAACGCGTTCAATTTTTAGCTCGTAAACACTCTTGAAGGAACAATTCTTGATGGATTTTAACTAAACTTGACATGAGTGTTCATAATCGCCCAAGGATGAACCCTATTGAAAATCAGAATAATCGAAAAATATTTAGTATGAGTTATTGCCCTTGTCCAGCGTGTTCAATTTTTAGCCCGTAAACACTCTAGAAGGCACAATTCTTGACGGATTTTGACGAAACTTGGTGTGAGTGTTCGTAATCTGTCAAGGATGAACCCTATTGAAAATCAGAAGAATCGAAAAATATTTAGTATGAGTTATTGCCCTTGTACTTGAAAACGCATTCAATTTTTAGCTTGTAAACACTCTAGAAGGGACAATTCTTGGCGGATTTTGACGAAACTTGGCATGAGTGTTTGTTATCACCCAAGGATAAACCCTATTGAAAATCAGAAAAATAAAAAAATAATTAGTATGAGTTATTGCCCTTGCTATTGAAAACGCGTTCAATTTTTAGCTCGTAATCACTCTAGCAGGCACAATTGTTGACATATTTTGATGAAACTTGGTGTGAATGTTCGTTATCACCCACGGATGAACTCTATTGAAAATCAGAAGAATTGAAAAATATTTAGTATGAGTTATTGCCCTTCGCTGAAGATTGAATATTTACTTTCTAGAGTTTTCACGAGCTAAAAATTGATCAATATCATTCAGTATCGCCCTAAAGCGTTCAAAAGAAGTGTATGACTGAAGGTTGAATATTTCATACTGGTAATTGTTACTGTACTGCTAAATATTTATATTCAAAATCAAAGTTGCCAGTGGGCGTATATTACCTTGCCTGGCAAGCTATCTTAATTTTTCGCTTTCCGTGTGGTCCCGTATTGAGACATTTGCTTTCTAGATCAGTACAAGGTAGAAATTATTTTTGTTATTGTGCAATAAGTCAATAACAAATTAAACATTTATTAAAATAATATAAATTAAAAATGATAGAGTGACTCTTGAAAGAAAAAGGGTGACTACCTTCAATATAAAAAGGTTAGAGACGCAAGTAAAACTGCAATATGGTTTGGTAAAAGGAAATATTTAGAAACTTCCGTATCAGATAGAAATGATAGTGGACAATTTGAAAAGCGACAAAAAATGCAACTGATAATAATAGTTCTACACCTCTCGGAACTTTAAATGATTATATAATTAATGTTGTTCAAAATTGTTGGTCTGATGGTGTCATTGCATTTTTTTCTGAACGTTGATGCCAGTGTTTTAAGCTGTTTTTTTTTTCGCTTTGATATTTACCTGTGTATTGATAACAAAATTTTCCCAGATATCTTGAAGCAGACGAAAGTATTGTCCTTTTAAAAATCTGGCACTAAAAATTTGGCATGTAAATACAGATCTGTATCAAATCTACAAGCTGTCTACTTGAAAAACATTTTCATTTCCATATGAACTATATTTAATTACTCATAACCTTTTATACTCAAAACAATCAAATAGTTTCTGCCACACAGCACACACAAATATAACCGAAAATATCTATGTTTCTCCCAATAACAGCATGCTTACTGGATTATTGTCTTTTTTATTTCGGTAAAGCTTTTGACATAGTAAATCACAATCTTCTTCTACAGAAATTAAAACTGTATAATTTTTCGAATAATCCTACCTTAATAATAGAAACCAATGTACCTCCATTGGGCAAAACCAATCGACTTTTCAATGTTTGACTTCTGGTGTGCATCAATGATCTATCTTCGAACCTTTATTATTCAATCTAATTATAAATGATCTTCTACTTGATCTTACGTGTAACTGTGATCTGTTTGCTGATGATACGATAGTATATTCATCATCTTTAGATATTTGCTTTCAACTTTATTTATCAATCAGACACTATAAAATAATCGTTCAATGGTGTCACGATAATTCCATGACAAAAATCAATCGAAAACTTAAAATGATCTTAATTGGCTTAAATCATCAATTATAAATTCCAGGAAATGATACTCCTTTACAACTATTGAATTCTCAGATTAAATTTAAACTATTATGTGTTATTTTGGATCAAAATTTTAATTGGAATGATTAATTAATTATTTATTTGTAAAATTTTAAATCAGAAAACCTCTCCTTCTTTCGAAACCTTATTAAATTATTCTACTTTGCTCATTTTCAACACCACATTGATAAATACAAAAATATACTACCAAAATTAGCCTTTAGACTTATTAATGAAAAAAAAAATACTAAACCTTCTCCTGCGTTTTCTTCCCATATCCACATCATTAAACTAATAATGATGTACAAAATTTTAAATGATTTTTCCCCATACCAATCATACCTTGTTGAATCAAAATTTACTAATAAATCTGTAATTGACAACCAAAAACAAACAAAAACTAGAACCACACGTGGCACAGAGTGGGACTTTGCAAATGTAGCAAAATGCAAAAGACCCTGAAAAAATCAACCTTCCACGATAATTAGATCAAGCGCAAGAACAGTCTAAAGTTGAGAAATTTTCATTTTTTAGAAGATTTTAATACCGGAAGTGGACGTCAGACCTCACAAATGAAAGTATCAGCAGATAGCCAAGGTCAATGACCTTTGATCTTGTAAAGGGGAAGGCCTAAAAAGGTCAAGATCAAGAGATATACGCCATTAAAATTTCAAATTGCTAACGACTATAAAACCAGAAGTTGACTTAGGACAGCAAATATAAAAGTATAAATAGATAGCCAATGCCAATGACGTTTGATCCTACAAAGGTCAAGGTCAACAAAGGTCAAGGTCAAAAATTGAAAATTTTGAATTTCCAAAACCTGTTCCTTTTTTTGAACTATGAAGCGGAAACAACCAAACTTCTAAGACAAAGTGGCTCAATTCATGAGATAATTGTATGCAAAGTTCCATTTTGAACAAACGTATACTTTGCGAGTTATGCTCCTGGCCAAAAATATCAATAATGAGTAATATTACCCGGATGTGCCACGCCCACCTTAATTTTTTTGCATAGGGTAATTGATATTCCAAATGTTATGTTGTGTTTCAAATTTCAAGCTTCTACATTATTCAAGTCAAAAGATATAGGTCAACAAATGTCAACAAAGGTCAAAATCGAAAAATGAAAATATCCAAATGTTAAAACCCGTTCCTTTTTTGGAACTATAAAGGTGAAACAACTGAGCTGTTAACACAAACTGGCCAAAAAGATGAGGTAATTGTGTGCAAAGTCCCTTTTTTAACAAACGTATCCTATGCGAGTTATGCCCCAGCCCCAAAATGTAAACAATTTGTAATTCAACCCGGATGTGCCACGCCCACCCCAATTTTTTTTTGCCATAGGTGAATTCATATTCAAAGTGTCTAGTTGTATTCCAAATATCAAGGTTCTCCATAAAATAGGTCATAAGATATACATACACCAAGATCAAAAAGACACAAATATGGTAAAACAAAACTCAAATTTGAAAAAATCACGAATTTCAATTTTGCTTTAAAAAAGCAATTGTTCTATATCTATGTAAAGTGCATGAGAAGAACATTAGGAAACCGAAAAAATTAACCCTCTAGGTTAATTAGGTCACGTGTTAGAAGCAGTCCAAAGTTGCGAATTTGGCTTTTTACGGATAGCTATAAAACCGGAAGTACATGTCTGGGGTCAAAGGTCAAAGTATCAAATTATAGCCAAGGTCAATGACCTTTGACCCTATAAAGGTCAAGGTCATCAAAGGTCAAGGTCACGAGATACAAGCCTTCAAAAATTGAAAAAAATTCGACCAGAAGTTGCAAAAAAGCAAAAGTCAAATTCAAAAATCCATTTCCAACATTTTTGTCGCCATCGACTAAAGTATACACCAACATAAAAATTTGACCAATCCCATTCTCCCCCGAAGCCCCATTTTGAGTTTTATGAAAAAGTATCAAATCAAGATGGCGGCCGAAGTATTTTTTTCGGACTAAATTTTATTTTAAAATCGGCCATAGAATTACGATTAATAACGATATACATAATTTCGTTGAAATATTTCAATCACACCGGAAGTTATTCAACCGGAAGTGAAAATCGATTTTCCACTTTAACCGGAAGTGACGCAAAAATTTTGAATACGTCAAATGGTTTACATTAGTGACATGCATCTTTTATCAAAATTTCAGATTAATCCGAAAAAAACTGAAAAATGGTCCAAAAATTTCGAAAATCGGCCAAAAAATGTCTGTGACAAATTTTCGAATTTTGAAATTTTGAAACTGCTATTCTTTCAGATTTTAACAGTAGATTCCAAAAATGCAAACTCAAAGAAAATCGACCGAAAAATACGACTTCTAGAGCCGATTATCTATTCTTGCACATGTTGAACTGTGGCACTTCCGGTTGTGCAAAAATGTTTCAATTTATATTTATGCACAACGTTGCCATTATCTAAGGTTCAAGAAAGTTGAATGATTGCTGCAACTACTGCAGTCTAAGCTCAGGAAGGTGTGTAAAAATCGAAAAAAAAAAAAACAAAAAAAAAGAATTGACATTTTGATAACAAACTGGGACTTTGCTGAAAGCAAAGTCCCACAATTACAGGTAAATTGCATGGGAAAATTTCGGGCAAACCAGCCCTTTATTCATAATCTGATAAATGACAAAGTGTGTGTTAATTTCTTTTTTTTTTTTAGTTTTTTTTTTATTTCATGTTGTGTTACTTTAAAGCCAAAGTTGTAAAAAGGAAAGGCCTAATTCACCCTAATAAAGATTTTATTATTATTGTTACATGTATTATTATTACTCTTTGAATGTCAAAGACACAAATAATTAGTTGAATCTACTTAAGTCTATTGCCGTACACATTTTAATCAACTTGCTTCACATTCACAAATGTATAATGTAAAGGAGTAAACTGCCAAATTTAGATGTGCAAACCATGATCTAGCAATGCTTATATATGACCAAGGAAGAAATAAATCTGTGATTCTGAGATTCTATTAATGGCATTAGTTATGAAAATTTCAGAAAGCAAACAGTTTAATATTTTATATACAATAAATACAAGAAATATATATATCATTGTCTTAATACATTACTGTGTATAATAGGTGAACTAGACATTCTAAAAGATAATGAGGGTAGCTAAATCAAAGTTTGATCAAGTGATAATTAAGGCAACTTGCTGTGAAATAGTCCAAATATATTTCATTTATAGCAAAAGCACCTACTATATGTAAGTTTTACAAAAATAAATTCCAAACCTCAACAAATGTCCCAACAAAAAAGTATAAAATCTTAACAAACAAATTAACAAGGTAAATATAAATCATTTGAACAATAAAACTAATTAGATATGTAGATATCAACTGGTGATTTTGTAGAAGAATAACTAAAATGATACATAAGGCAATGCTACCACTGAGACAAAATCAGTAAGAAAAGGGGAAACTTGGCAACACAATAAACTTAATGAAAAAATTGAACATAAATTGTTAACACAGAGGTTTTTAATCAATAATTCCACTTCATAGATATATAGATATCCTAAAATAGAGCATAAAGTTTCCAAAATTTCATTGAATTTTCACCACAAAATCAAGCAAAAGGTATACACCCAGAAAGCAGCTATTTTCTGTTTAGCTAATTGGAAACTTCAAAGAGAAACGCATGAAAATTATTGTCCAGAGTGTACAATATATTTTTTACCTAGTTTCAAGAGCAGTAACTCCTTAAAGATGGCTTTGCGCCATGTTAAGAGTAATCTATTGGATTATTGGTATTGATAATGAATTCTCCATGTCTTCTTAGACAAAAGAAATGTATGTTGAAGTAGAAGGCTTGGATAATTCAATAAACTAAATCCACTCATGAGACAAACTGGTATTTTTCCTGATCATTAGAACACCTCTACTTTTGATTTATATAAGTATTAGCAATAATAAAATATATATATAATATAATGAAAATAAGGGAACACATCTTCAGAGATCAAAGATAATGCCAATAGGGCCTACAGAAGACAATTTCAGTTATCACTAAATCTAATCAAAACAAAAAGTGCAAAATTCATGTATCATCAAAATCAAATTCAAGATATTTTTATCTTTAGAATAAGAACATGTAACTCTTTCTTGACTCATTTAGGTCGAAGGGGGAGAAATCCTTTATGCATCACTAATTTTGACTAAGTTATTAGTCACTCCAAATGATTGGTATTTAAATTATCGGACTAGAATATTTTAGTGCAATAGTCATCTAACTTATCTATATTATGCAGTTTTTGTGGCATATTCAAGATGAAAATTAGTAACTTACATAAATCAATGTAAATAACAATTTCCTTTGATTGTAGCCGTAGGAGTCAACCACAGGAAAAACAAAATCTAGTTTTGAAATGTGAGTATATTAGATAATAAAGAGCAACTCTTGTAATATGCCATAATTCATAAAAATATAATAGTATCTAGAACACAATCCAACATCACAGATTAACAAGTAAATAATGAATACAAAATAACTTATCTTTTATAAAATTAATAACTTTTCTTTCATAAAATTTATAACTAATCTTTAATACAATATTTTACTTATCTTTTATACAATTTATAACTATTTATGGATATACAATAATATTGATAATAATAAACTCTAATCTAAGTGACATAGTTCTGTCTAATGTTCAGACAAAAGGAATGCTCTAAAGGGGTATAGTCGTCTATTCACTAAATTAGACAAAAATAAAGAGTTTTAACTAGCTGTATCTTATTTTGTACTGAACAAGTATAATGTAGCTACAGAGTCCTTTTTTGTTTTAATAATTTTAAATGATAGTTAAAGAATTATAGTTCTTTAAATACTCTAGAATTTTAATCTAAAATATGATTATAAATGTAAATGGTTAAAAGTACAACATTTTAAAAGTTCCCTTTGATATAGAATTAAAGTATTAGATTAACATTATTAGAATTTGTGGTACGACTGGCAGCAATTAAACATAGTCCTGAGTCGTTATCAGATGACTCACCACCATTTGTTGACATTCCATTACCATTCATATAAAACTTGTCACTGAAATGATCACATCAAAATTATACACAACTAGATCCCC